GCATTGGATTCCCCCACCGTTGCTGCACACCTCCACCGACTCACAACCGGGGGAAAAACGCGGCTCCCCTGTTCGTACCAAGGATTATTGCCTCTAATCAAAAACTGCCGGGGGCTCTACGCTTGTCTTGCGTCCGCCTTGCATTCCTGTGCGTTGCAAAGGCCTGCCCTGCGAACCAGGTTCCCGAGGCTTAAGAAGCTCGACAAAAATATAACTGCACTACGCTGATTTAACAGGCATTCAAAATAAGCCTTGCCAGCGAGGGGAACAGCAGGCTAAGAGATACCTGGTACCTTAATGGCCATGTGCATCGGAGATCAGATGTCTCCACCTCCTCCGCTCAAGACAGCCTGCCTAAGGAGCTCAAATCTGAAGAAGCGCGACGGTTTTAACAACTCACACTGACAAAAGAAAGAAAGAACCCCGAAGGCAAGGTGACAGGTGAAAACTGGGACAGAGCTGGGTCTCAGCTACTGCCCCTGGCAAAGACAAAACAGCGAGGGAGCGTGTTTTTATTCCCTGTAATTTATCAGGAACTAGATGGCGCGCAGATATTACTCCCGTCCTGCAGGCCCTTTGCTGGCTGCCCATCAGTTATTGGGCTCGGTTTTAAGGTTATTAGCTACCGTGTAGAAAGCCCCTCATGGCCCTCGGACACTCATATCTGCAAAACCGCCTCTCCCCTCTATTTGCTGTCATGAAAGTTTCGCGCACTGGAGCAGAGTCTTCCGCAGGCGCCAACCTGCAAATGGGCAAATTCAATGCTTGTTTTCGGCGAAACATTCTGAAGAACTTCCTGACAGCTGGAGCGGTTCCTCAGTGGAACAGGGCTTCCTCGGGAGGGGGTGGGCTCCCCCTTCTCCAGAGGTTTTCAAACAGAGGCGAGATGTCCATCTGACAGCAATGCTGATTCTGGGAACTTAGGCAGATCGTGAGAGGGAGGGCAGGAAGGGTTGCCTCAGTGCTTGGTTCTTGTGGCCCTTTCTTACACGCCCAGGGAAATGCTGATCGCCACTCTGGGGTCAGGAAGCAATTTTTCTCCAGGCCACTTTGGCTGGAGATCCTGGAGAATTTTTTTGTCATTTTCTGGGTGTGGGTCACTGGGTGTATGTGTGGAGGGGAGAGAGGTATTTGTGAATTTCCTGCATTATGCAGGGGGTTGGACTAGATGACCCTATAAGTACCTTCCAACTCTGTGATTCTATGTGCCTTCTCTGCTGTAGCCTCTGCCTTGTGGAACAACCTGTCTGAGGATATCAGGAAGGCTCTCACTCTTCTGGCTTTCTGCAAACTATGCAGATCTGAAGAAGTGTGCATGCACACAAAAGCTTATGCCTAGAATAAAGCTTTGTTGGTCTTAAAGGTGCCACTGGACTCAAACTTTGTTCTGCTGCTTCGGACCGACACGGCTACCCTCCCGAATCTATGGAAAACCGAATTATTCAACGCA